ATACAGTCATCGGGCCCTAGCCGACATCGAGCTCCGCCCTGTAAACATATACACATGACAGATGCAAGAGTGACACAGACAACTAGAATACTAACATATCAAATCATGGGCCAAAATTGCTGCCTTCGACCTGCTAAGCACAGTGAGGAAACTCACCTCATACTGCTCAATCACACAAATAAATCTCTAGCTGCTAGCCCGCTAAAATAATCACCGCGCTATATTCACAACTAATATCCAATTAATAATTGGATCCCGAATCACACAAGGAGTCCAATCTAAGGTAGAAGACCTTATACTCATTCCTAAATTGGCCTAAGGCCAAAGCCCAATTCATGTGTCCAAAAAGCCTAATTTCCAAAATAATCCTCCAAGGCCGAAATATGGCCCAATTTTCCAAATTGGAGCCAAACTCCATTATCGACCCACAACCAAAGGAAACCCATGGTACTTGCCAAAGGCCCAAAACAAAGGTCTAATGGTCCAACAAGGCCTAACTGAAAAAATCCCCTCCATGGCCCAAACCGAGAATGCTAAGTCCATTTGGCCCATCTACTAAGCACGTAGGGTGTACTCAGTTGGTACGCTTAATGTACCCACTCCAGGCTCAGTACACATAGCATACTAGCTTGGTACACCCAGCGTACTCGCAGGTTCCTTAACAACTCTATTAATCACTTAATTGTTCAACCATTGCTTCATATTATAGATCTAACTTTTTTAAGGTGACTTATCACGTAAAATTGGCAACTTTACATGCATACATGGATTAATGGGGCTCTAAAGCTCAAAATAACTTCACAATGAGGTCTTAACACATGCATGAGTTCATGTGTTAAGACAAGGCGACCCTAAAATGCCCAGATCTACAAGGTTAGGCTTCTGAAACGACCCTAGCTCACAAGGACCAACCAAAAGGGACTACAATGGCGATAAACAAGTCCAAAAGAAGATCCATATAAGCAGTTGTCAAGATAAGATCATTATACCTCAAATGACATGGAAAAGGTATGATGATTCTGGATCTCTAAGCTTCACACCAAACAATGAACTTTCAATCTTCTTCTATCCTTTCAAAATGTGTAATAAAACACCAACTTTTCTTCTCAAGATCTCAAAAACACAAAATGATGGCTAAGGATCGAAATTGAGGGTTTAGGAGATATCGAGGCTAGTAAGAGGCCAAGCTCATAGGATTTAATGAGTTTATACAGGGGTTAAACCCTAAAAATTAGGATTTCAAGTTGGCCAGATTACACCCAGCGTAACCCCACATACGCCCAACGTACGTGGGCAATGACCACGACCATCACCAGCTAGTACGCTAAGCGTATACTATGATACGGCCCGCGTACTAGCCTCAAGGACCAAACATGTGATTGTTTAAATTACGAAGGGTTCAAGGAAACATACCCATTTCAAGTGTTACACATACAAGGAGTACGATGGGCGTACATATTTGCCATTGAGTTTGAATTTGTTGACTTTCGTTGACCGTTGAGTTTTGATGAAGTTTGACTTTAGGTCAAACTTTAGGGTTTTGGACTGTTAATTAAGGTTTTAGTTGGTTTTGGTGATTAACGGATTCACGGGAGCACGGAATGCAGAAAGGAAAACATATCTAAATTTTTCGGGTTTCTTGATTTCAGGTGAGTTTTTCCTTATCGTACCCGTGGGTTGAAGGCACCAATGTCAGCACACTACTTTTGGTTGTCTTTTTGTAAAGGTATGCCATGGGGACTGTATATTGTCATGTAGGATATACTGAGTACTCTTGATCTATGGTTTCTTTCCCGTTCCATGCTTGGTTGTGGCTCTAGAGTAGGATCACCTGTCTGGGTGTCTATCTCACCTTTGAGTATGTACTGTTATGTATTCTTTGGATTGTTGTTATTTAGTATGTTTCTATGTTGTAGTGATCTGTTAGATCTTTATCCAAATATATTGGATGTTTCTATGTGGTAGTGATATGTAAATCTGTATGTCTACTTGTACTTGTTGATTGTCATCTAATGGAGTGCCTTAGGTACTGTATGTAGTCATGTAGGATAGCATGAGAACTCTTGATCTAGGCTTTCTTGCTTGTTCCTTATTTGGTTGTGGCTCTAGAGTAGCGCCATCTGTTTTGGTGGCTATCTCACCTCGGGTTACTTATGGCTAGACATTTCAAGGAGGTTAGCTGGTAGCAGGTCAGTGTATTGTGAGAGGACTAGTAGGTGGTAGTGAGCTGTCTGATTGATGCTTGCATATATTATGTGAATGCTTGATCCTTTAATATTTTTATGTTGACATATGATGGTAGTGGGTTGAGGCGGTCCTGATTTGTGTTGTAGGCGAAGATACCTGGTGCAGACCAATGGTTTGAGGCGGTAGGCCAACACACCATGGGTATTCCACTCGATGGTTTTCGTCCGTTATTCGTGCTTGTATGTTTATCGTACGGGGTATTTTTGGGGGAAACTCACTAAGTTTTTTCCTTACACAGTTGTTTATTGTTTCAAGTATCATCGGTCATCATGGGAATGCGAAGGCGTGACTGTACATATTCATCAACAATAATGAATATTTCATGTTTTAATATTACTATGATTTTAAATAAATGTATTTGGAATAAACGATTTTATTCATATTGGATTTATAAATGGGATGCTCTACTTTACAAAAATGAAAATTTTGGTTGTGAAAATGGGACGTTAAAGATATAAGGATAAGGAACTTAAATAATATAAATGTTATCAACTTATCATGATAAATGTCAAGAGTTATCACTAACACACCCCCCCCCCTCAAGAGAAGTAGTGGTGGACCAATATGTAGCTTGGCACAAAACTGCTCAAAAAGCGGATGAGGAAGACTCTTGCTAAAAATATCGGCTAGCTGTAATGATGTCATAATTAACCGTGTATATAAACGACCCGGAGAAACCAATTCTCGAATGAATTGATAATCGATATCGATATGCTTCACTCGTTTGTGAGAAACGGTATTCTGACTTAAAAAGAGAGCACTACGGTTGTCAAAAAGAAGAGTAGGACGCTGAGGGGGGCAAGGCATGCAATTCACGTAGGTGATGAGTGATCCAAACAATCTCTGCAGCAGTGTTGGCCATTGCTCGATATTCAAATTCACAACTAGAATGAGATACCATAAGTTACTTCTTTGCACTCCAGGAAACAAGATTCCCACCAAGAAAGATGGAATAGCCATATAAAGAACGACGAGTTTCTATACAGCGTTCCCAATCTGCGTCAAAGTGTCCAATCAAAGACGATGAGGGTGGACGAGTAAAGTGCAGGTCATATGATAAGATCCTCTTAACATAAAGCAGAATGCGTTTAACGGTTTGAAAGTGCTCAATGGTATGAGCATGAGGAAAATGGCTAGCTTAATTGACAACATATGAGATATCTGACTCTGATACCGACTCTGATACACTCCAACGAAGCTCAATCGACATGGCCCTCTGGCCCTACAGTTTACCATATCCTCTCTCAATCTGAACCCCCATCGTTGGATAACTGGAAAAGATGAGAATACCCTCTGCTATGAATCATGGTACCCGAACCATGTTATCTCCCCTTAACCTGCTATTTAGAACCTTTGGGATTCTCTTTGCTTCGAGTATGGATCCTCTGCTTTCAGTAGTACGGGCCCATACTACCTGCCACATCTACCCATACTTTCCACACGGATCGTCCCATATTTCCTAATCAGCTGCTCAACCTTCTAGACCACTAATCTCGTTACACATGGTCGCACTCTAGCGAATACTCTCCTCTATCAGCATACTCAACTGACTAAAGTCACTCCCTAGGCTCTTCCTAGGTTCTCGAACTTCTTTGTCATCAGCTGCTGAAGAACTCCTCATGATGCCAGCCATCTACCTCCTGAATATCATCATATTCACTCGGTAGCTGACTCCCATCATCAAGAGTTCCCCAAAGCACAAAGCAAGCAGCATTCGGGCATCGAATAACCTCCACCAGCACGTAAAACCACTATGGCATATAACTCCTCTCGCTCTATCCACAACTCAAAAGGCATCGCCGACTCAGGAAACCCCACCCCTCGTGGCATCTAACTAACCTCTTAGTAGATTCCTCCAAAAGCACATCTAGGTATCTCTACTAGATTACTCCGCTACTCAAATCTCTTTCTAAAAGATTCCTGCTAGATACTCCTTCTCAGCACATACTCAAGGCACATAACAGATAGCAACAACTCCTTGGTAAGGCATCACAAATCAGGCAACTCTAGCCTAAAATATGAAATACCACTACTAGAAAAACAACATTTTACGACGCGCAATGCGTGTCGTAAAACGCTCAGACGATGCGCAAATGCATGTCAAGGAAGGCCCTGTCATAACGAGAGACGACACGCTTTTGCGCGTCGTATATAGACGACGCGCATTTACGATGCGCGGTTACGACACGCATTTTGACTCTCATTTACGACACGCAATGCGTATCAAGGAAGGCCCTGTCATAAAGGAAGACGGCACGCATTTGCGTGTCGTAACCTTACGACGCGTATTTATGACATGCATTGCGTATCATTAAAAGCCCTTGTCATAAATGAAGATGACACATATTTGCGTGTCATAAACTTCAGCAGCCATTTACGATATGAATTTACGACGCCTCTTTACGATACTCATTTACGCATAATACAAAAATATAGAAACAAATAGATACCAAAACAATCAATTTCATCCAATAACATCATGTCTAAAAATTGTAATACATTGGTATTAAGGGATCTGATTGTACATTGTTACTAAGAGGTTTTCCCTAACTGTATAACCTAATACTACATTGCTATTAAGGGGCACCTTCTTGTTTCAGATATCATGTCAAAAAAATCATCCATATCATATATTTCCTCAATTTGGTTTCCTTCAATCAACGACTACCATTAAAACAAACACATTAAACCAAGAGTTTGATTATTAAAGATTAAAAAAAATTAATCTACAAACTTCAGAAAACACATTGGAATCAATTCCACCTAAACCAATATAACTTTTTGAACATTTGTAGAAAGCACAAACCAATACCACCTAAACCACCAATATACTTCTGAAGTGCAGCAGCACCCATTACCCTGAACAAGGAAAATCAACTATATTTCAAGAATAATTCAAAAGAAAAATATCATGTAACATGCTTTTCCACCAACTGTATAGGTATCAAAATAGATGGGTTGGGTTTAAGCAAACCCATGTAAATGGCATGTGCATATAACTGAAGATAAACACTTACCACATTAAGCCAATAGCAACAGTGAATAAGATCATGGAGATGAGCTCCTATACAAATCATGATGATCTATTTGACACTTTTGGATCAACCTGCAAACACAAGTTCATACTGGGTAGGACCAATAATCCTTTTACACACTTAGTTCTTGTTGGTCTTCATCTACTTGAGTCCTAAAGTTCTGTAAACTCAATTGTGGGGCCAATGACAAGCATAAACTCTGAAATATGAAGGGTATAAAAACTTCTGCTCGGTGATTTAAAATAGCATTCAAACCCTATTTCAACAAATATGTTAGTATAGATATTGGCAAAATTTAAAACTCGACAGGAAAATTAATATGACATAAGTAAAAGTCAAACCTCTAGAACAGATTGAGGAGCGAGATTGAGTTCATCCAGGAAAACCTAAGATCCATTCTTCAAAGCCTGTATCATACTCACAAAGTTGGGCTGATTGACCATGGTCAATCTGGTAGCCACCAGCAACGCTGTTCTGAGTTTGCTTCTTGATCGCAACCATGACGATTTAGTACCCACCATTGCTCCCACATTTCAAGTTGGGGGGAGGTTCATCATAGAGGGCAGAAAGAATGGGAGAAGGAAGTCATAATACCACACTAGCTACAGAGAGAGAGAGAGAGAGAGGGATAAAAACTATAAATGGGCCAAAACCGTAGGGACCAGAACTGTTGCAGGGAAAAAAATTGTACAAGGACCAAAAATGTAGGGACCAAAACTGTTACAGTGACCAAAACTGTTACCTGTTCTATTGTTTCCGGTTTCTGAGAACATAAGATGCTGATTCCAATCCGGATTTTCTGCCACTTTTGGAGGATTTAGTGATTCCAATGCAACTCCTTTGTCCACTACTAACCTCAAGTATAATACTCTTCTTCCCTATGTAGCATATAACATAAATGTAATAAAAATAAATAAACAAAACACAATACATTAAAAATTAAAAACTACAAATTGTTTATAACTTACCTATATTGTAACTGTTTACCGCATACACCATGTTCTTCACCATCTGCAAGTATCCAAGAAAAAAATGTTACCGACACCGGATTCTTGAATATCAAAATCAACACCGCAACAGCCACTGCTCCTTTTGAATTTCCCAACACATGATCCAAATTCTATTATTAATACTTATATAATATACAAATAATTTCAAAGAGTTGAAAAGAATGAGACCTGGAGAGTTAAGGAGCTTGTCTGCTTAGTAACCAATAAATTGGTCAAATTTACACAATATGTCATTGGAGAGTTGAAAAGTAGGTACCACACAATGTTGATATCTTTTCTTGCAAGTGCAATATCACTACATCTACTGGCACCATGTACAACAGAAGGTTCATTGAATTCAGTTTCTCCCTACATCAATCAATCAATTACATTCTTAGTATGGAATGGAATTGAAATCTAAAATCAAATGGAATTCTGTAAAAGAAGCAAAGAGGAAGATGATGATTTATAGGAGTGAATTACCCTTCATAGGACAACAATCTTTAGCTTGGTGCAACACTTTCTTCACCTTCTGGTCCCTACACCAATTATGAAATTCTTTTTATACGAAAATAATCCATCATTCGGTCATGTGTTGATATGTACATTCAGTCATGTGTTGATATGTACATTGTACAAAACAGGTTTGGATCCACATCTAAGTTTGGGTATCACAAAAAAGTTAACTCACCATTAAGTTTATATATACCCACACAAAATCATCATCAAAATTACCTCCTCAACAGATACTATTCTTTTATACTTGATATACTCCATTGCCTAATTTGAAATTTAAAGACTTCTTAAATCCATTACACTGACCATGATTGAAAGGTAAGGATCAAATTTTTGAATCTAGGTAAGATAAATATGAATAATATCAATCCGGAATTACATCGAACACATTATGTGCAATTATAAACCACAAAAATTAAATTATGTGAAAACCTTTTTCTTGAATGAAAATGTAATATGTAAAAATTGTGAAGCATCCAAAACACAATCAAATAATGAAATTATTGCATCAATCTTGATAATTAACATACCTTTGCAGAAAAGTTTCCTCCATAAACTCTCATGAATCCTTTCAACCTCAGTAAGGGAGAAATATGAAGATTCACTTGTCTAACAATGAAATAATTTACATTGAAGAGTTATTTTAACTGGATCGATGGTAAATCTATGTTTAAGCTACCGTATTCCTTATTTTTTGTAATTTCCTACACCTAGAGTGAAAAAAAAAGATGAATAAATGTTTCTAACACTGCAATAATAAACTATTAAGCCAAATAATAAAAGCATATATTCTAAAATAAAATATTTATGACTTGTTAGGTAAAATTTTCAATCGTTATTTGATTATATGGTTAATTTGTCAAAGCATCCTACAATAGAGTTTATACTCTAGTGTTGTTAATATTTAAAGGTTAATTTTCTTTCACAAAAAGCGTGTAAATTACCATATTACGCCCTTTAGGAATATGACAGACATGGGAGGTCTTGGTCGACAATTGGATTACCTGGTCATTTTTCTATGATCATTTTTATGGTAATGACCAATTACATGACTTTATTAACAGATCCTATAACTTCATTATGAGCCGCATAAACATATTTAAGATGATATCATCATTAATTTATTGTGTTTGGAAAGTACAATGATATAGGCCTGACTCGTTTAAAGCATAAAAGAAGTGTCAAAAAGCATTCCTGTATATCTCCTACAGTTGAAAGTTGAAATATAACAAAAAGCTCCAGAATTCTAGAGATGATTGGAATTGATTACGTGTGTAAGATTATTGTTCATATCGTTTTTTAAATTGAAAACTTCCAAATTTCAAATGCATCACTATTGAAAGAGATTTTCTGAAATATGTGGTCAAACATTTTTAGCTGTTCAACAAATTCTAATCCTCTAAAAACACCAAAGATTTTGATTTTCAATTACATTATGAAAAAAGTTAAGGAAATCAAAAACAAGACTGTCAAAAGTCAAAACTCCACTTCACTATAATCAACTGAGCATTTAGGAGCACATTTAGAAGCTTCTCATTGTGGCCAATTAGTGGAAAAGGAACTAAAACCGATATCAATAAGAATATTTAACACTTTATGAGTCATAGCACGAGTCCGTAATCATACAAATCAAGTGAATAAACAAAAATAAAAACTGGAGAGACTCATGTGTAAACGTTGGTAAAGTTGTAAACAGATTGGTATAATGGTTTACAGAAGTAGTAGTAAACACAAAGGTTAAAGAAACAAAACTCTAGAATCCAAATAATTAAAAATTAAAAATAGATAATCTAAAGTTAAGATGTAAAACCAACACATATCATAAACTTTAATGATGTTCTTACTCGAATAAGAATGAGGAGTTACTCCGAGAGTTAGGGTTCCAACAGATAATTTCGATTCACATGGTGATTGAATTGATGAAGAATTTAGAGAGAAACCCTTGTAGAACCCTAAGAAATTATGCCGACGATGGAGAAAGAAAATGAATGATGGGGCTTTTGAAAATTACAGGGGGAGAAAGAATCTTCGTGGAATTATTTGGCGAGAAGTGGAGGTTTGAAAAACCGTTGATGAGATTTGAATGTTTGATAAAGCTTCTGTGAGAATGTTTCGTGAGTCGATTTAGGATCAGATTACCAGTCAGATAGGTGGGAATATAAGATCTTTGCCAGACCATCTCTACGAAAAGATGCACCCTCAGATTACGACTTATGTTCATAACTTCTTCAAGGGTTAACCATCACACGCTTCAGCAATATTCAACAAGTAAATGACGAAGAATTAGTTGTATGGCGAGGAGGAAGAGCGGATATCGTTGTATTGCCTGAACACGACGATATAAAAGCCCTAGTTCATGGGTGCGCACTTTTGAGGTCCAGAGCATAAAAGCCCTAGTTCTTCTTTGATATCGGGGACAAAAACCTTAAAATCGCCATCGATTTGAGTGTGAGGAGACGTAAACCACCAATCGCCGACTTCATGAAAGATATCGTGAGGTTCGATTTTTGGGGAAGGCGGGGTACTTGAATTTTTGGGGGATTTGGTTTTCCCCCTTAGTTGTATCAAAAGGGGACGCGCGTATTAAAATTTTATAAAACGACATCTGTACACGACGCCCACTTAAATTTAGGTGCCTTCCGTGTTTGTAATTTTTTTTCGCTGGACATTAATTTTAGGGCACGCACAAATGAGTGTCCTCTATCCTTCAAATTTTGGAAGACTGACATTATTTTTAAGGACACACAAAAATGCGTATCGTAAATCAGCGAGTGTCATTGTTCGCGCGTCATTAAAGGGTATTTTTCTTGTAGTGTACCTAGAATATCCTCTAGCATGCATCACCAATATCTCATAAATATCTCATAACACAAATAAGTAAGGGTATTTTGGGAAATCACCGTTCGGGATCTGGCTGATTGTACACACTGCTCCAACTCATTTTCTCTTAAAACTCTCATTTTAGAAAAATCATTTCTTTTGAAAATTTTTCTCAAATCCTCAGTTTGAGTCCAGACACACCCGAAGGTACATCCGAAGCCCTCAAACCAAGGCTCTGATACCAATTTGTAACACCATAAATTTTCAGACAAAATTTTTATTTTAAAATCACATAAATCTCATCAACATATTTCACAAAATTCCCCAATTGTCAAATTACCCAAAACACATCATCATAATTGTTTGAATAAAATCCAGGATCCACAAAACATAAACTCATCTCAAGTGTGTGTACAATCAAGCCGGCGCCTTCCCGCGATCCTGAGAAGTACCTGAAACACATATCACATAACACGGTAAGCACGAAGCTTAGTGAGTTCCCCAAAATACCACATATATCTCACTAGCCTCTCATGGCTATACCTCAAATACGACTCTCCAGTCAATGTGTCTCAGTGGGACCCTCTGGTCCCAACTTAGTAAAGCATAACATCATCACAAAGGCAGAATGCATAAGATATCACATAGCTCAGTATAAGCACACATAATCAGCATATACACTAAATAGTATAGCAGCATAAGTCACAAAGACAGTATGCACAATAACGCATATCAAATATAACACGTAAGACCCTCCGGTCAATAATATAATAAGACCATCCGTTCAATAGTGAAGACCCCCCAGTCTCATAGGTCAGGTTGGATCCTCCGGTCCTGTATCTCAATGAAGACCCTCCGGTCTCATAGTATTTACCACTCAGGTAAGTATAGTGAGAAGACTCACCTCGTAGAGTAAAGCAATGCATCCCTTACTCGAGCTTCCGGCCAAATCTCTGCCCCTCCATGGCCTCCAAGAATCTACAGTTGACCAAAACCTTAAAGTCAAGGGAAGTCAACAGTCAACACTGACCCAACTCTAAAAGTAAACAGAGGTCAACACTCAAGTCAACAGTCCATGTTGAATCAACTCGTCGAGTACATCTCATGAATTCGTTGAGTCCCTCAGAACTCAGTAAATCGCGAAAACCCGAGTCTACTCACCGAGTTGCTAGCCAACTCGTCGAGTTCATGTAGCGTCTAAAGGATCAGGAAAACCCCACTTACTCGTCGAGTTGTTTCATCAACTCGCCGAGTCCAATCTAAGTCCAATGACGGATAAAATCCTCTCAACTCGTCGAGTTGTCTCACCAACTCGCCGAGTCTGCACGCGTCAAAAACCCTCGGGATAAATCCTAATCGACTCGTCGAGTCAGCTCACCGACTCGTCGAGTCCCTTCAGTCCCTTTTCTCATTCAGACGATTTTGGGCATAAATAAGGTCTCATACTCTAGATCTAGCCTCCTAAGGCTGAATCAACACGTAAAGCTGCAAGCATTTCGTTCATGCATGGCATGTAGGCCCAAAATGCCAAGATAAGCTCCCTAAAGGGTCCAATGCATCAAAGTGTTCCTCTAGCTTGATAAAGCTTGGATCTTTGGGCTCATAGGGACTCATATAGCTCAGATCTGGAGTATCAACCTCCATTATCAGCTTAATAACTCAAAAACCAAAAGATAGATGGAAATAAGCCCTAAAACTCCCTAGGAAGAGATCTATCACAAGAAATGCTCAAGGTAGAAACTTTTTACCTCCAATTGACAGCTAGCACCGAAAGAACACTGGATCCAAAGCTTATCCTCGTTCCAAACCTCCTTGATCTTCAATCTTCTTCTAAAAATGCACTTAAACACAAGATTTTTAACTTTTCTCTCTCTCACAACGACTACAGCTCGACTAGGGTTTCTCCCAGTGTGTCTAGATGGTCAGGGAGGCGGAAATGAGGGCTTAAGGGACATTAAATAGGGTGCAAGCCCTAAAATTAGGGTTTTCTCAATACAAACTCAACTCGTCTAGTCCAGCCCCTCGACTCGACGAGTAGGCTTTAAAATACATTTGTCCAACTCAGCCCCAACACGACGATTCGGGACCAACCAACTCGTCAAGTAGGTTCCCAAAAGTGCATTATAACTCTTAAATTCTCATCCAGGATTCGGGGTGTTACATCAACACATATTTGAGTGAGTTTTTCTAAGTGAGGTTCACAGTCATGCATGCCATAATTATTTTTTTGTATCATAAATTTTAACTACTCAATGATGTTGTTGTTTCCTTCCTTTTCCATGAATCAAAAGTTTTTGATTAGCCTTATGGATGCATCTTCGGTATCATCTCCTTTCCTTGCAATGAGTTACAACTTTCCTCACTTTCGCTTGTTGTTATTTTCTTCATTATTATCACCAAAAGACCATACTTTATGATCTCTTCGCACATGAGCCACAAAGGCTTTTTCTTTCTCATTCTTTTCACTTCTTTTGCCATTGTCAGATGATAAGCTTTATCTTTCACCATATTAGCCTTACACTTTCTTTCAAAATGATTTTCTTTATGATACTTGTGACATATGATAACTCCATATTTCTTCTCTTTGGTGAGAACTACTGTGTCGAAAGGTTTGTCTTGAGGTGATGCTTCAGAGGAATGGCTAAGCATCAAGGGAGTGTTATGAGATTGTGGTTGATGGGGTGGGTCTCGAGGATATTTGGAAAGCTGAGGGTAGTGGTGAGGAGAGTTGTTTTGTGGGTTG